TGACGACTAAAAGTTGTTCCCTGCTCTCCCCTTGAAAACCAATCCAAAATTTTTTTAAAATCAAAACAAAAATTTCTTATGCATTTAATGGGTTGGCGACACACTTTGACTTAGAATTGCATCCATTAGATAATCCGTTCTGGTATCCAAATAGTAAAATTTTGATCAGGAAAAAACATTGGCCGCTTCTCTTTCGCTTCAGTAGACTCTCTCTCTGCTCACTACTCTCTCGCTCTGCTTCTGCTGACGTTCGTGAGTGCAGCGAACTGCCGAAGCATACAAAAATCAAAAACAACGTACTGCCAAAAAGGCTCCCTGCAACCCCCGCAATCTTACAAATAAAATCATATAAAATCAACCGTGGGTCAAAAAAAAAACAAGTGAGAACGCTATAGTCGGGTGCCCCGACTATCAGATGCCCGTTACTCAGGTAAAGGGAGTGCGAGGGAGATGGAGATAAAACTTTGATCCGCCGTAACTTTTTAACGAATGGTCTGATTTAAAAAATTTCTTCTACATTTCGATAGGTATTGATAAACACAATAAAACTGCATTTTTACTTTTCCGAAATATTGAAATTTTTTAAATCGTATATGAGCGATTGTGGGCGTTAGACGGGGCGTGGCACCCTTTTAAAACAAACCTGCGCTGCGTAGGAACTCTTAGAATCTGCATGCAGAATGTCAATCTTCTAGCTTTTAGGGGAGAGGTCTGTAGGTTGAGACGGTCTGTAAGTTGAGACACTCAATTTTCTCAAAACTTATCCACTAAAAAAATTGTTTTTATTTTTTTTTTGTAGTCCTTTTTAGTGACAAAACTTTTGGGGAAAACATTATAAGCCAGGCTCTAGCCAGATTAAAGCTGTGAGAGTCGTGTACCATTTTTCACCAAAAAAGTTATTGCCTACTTTTTTCAAAATTCCATTTAAAATTAATAACGTCCTTAAATTAACTTGGTAAGAGATTTAAAACATAAGTATATTAACTGTTAACTAATTAAAAAAAGAATCAGCTTAATGTGACAGTCAGAACAAAAGTTATTAATTTTTTCCCGAAACATCCCATTTTGTGTAAGTTGAGACACTTTGAGCGTGTAAGTTGAGACACCCATTTTTCATACAAAAAGGACTTAGGCCAACAGAGGTCGCTTTCTGCCTAGTACATTTCTTTGATATTAGGGGAAAAGTGAATGTTCAAAGAGCCTTTTGATTTTAATTGTTATTTGGTCTAAGTTCTTAAAAAATGGATGGAAAATAATTTAGGACTAGGGATGTCGAAAATATATCAAAATATCAATATATCGATATTTTTTACGAAAAAATAAATATTTTTATCGTGATATTTTTTTTGAATAATTATCATATATCATCGATTTTTTTCACATTTTTTTGATAATTTTAAGTGGTCTCACTTTTCATCGGGACAAGAAAAAATACATATGTGAAAAATGAGCGCCGCTAAAATTTATTTTTCGGCAAGTGAAAATGCATAGCATAGCATTCAGAATTCAAGAAAAAAAAGCGCGGAAATACTAGATTTTAATATTATAAATAAAAGCAAAAGAAAGCCAAAATAAATATTGTTTTCTTTCATTTATTAATAAATATAAACTAAAAATTATAAAAATATAATTTAAGATCGTATGCGGGTTAATGTTTAGTGGTTATTGCTTATGCAGCTTAAACTTAAAATAAAAAAAATAATAAAACAAAAACATCAAAAATATCTGATATATAGATATTTTTTTCTGATATATCAAATATCATTTTGATTTTTTGTTTAAATAAAAAATATCATCGATACGATATTTTAAAATATTTCGACATCCCTATTTAGGACGTACTAAAATTGATTAAATTAACATAAATAAATAGTTCCTTATAGTTTGGAGTACTTTTTGTGTGAGTATTATTGACTTTTAAAAGTGTCTCAACTTACAGACCTCTTTTTCAAAATGTCGTTTTTTGGGACTTTTCAAAAAAAATAATTTTTCAGTTTCCCCTAAGGAAAAAAAATATTTTTTTTTGTTTTTCATTAAGCTAAAAGACTAACCTTTCGATCAGTACCTAATGCGTAAAGTTTCATAAGTGAATGTCGAAATGGCAGATTAAAAACAAAAGGTGTACCAACCTACAGACCTCTCCCCTATAGTTTCCGAGATCACAGCTTTCATACGGACAGACAGACAGACGGACAGACGGACATGGCTATATCGACTAGGCTAGTGACCCTGATCAAAATATATATACTTTATAGGGTCGGAAATGCTTTCTTCTAGCTGTTACATATTTTTGCACGAATACAATATACCCTTTAACTCTACGAGTAACGGGTATACAAATACCCTACTGATTGTATGGCATAGCTCCATACTTTAAACCAAAAACTTTCTGGGCTTTCAAAGATTTCCACAAACAAAGCTTACAAACAATATATCAACTTGTCTGGTTAAAAACTGTGGGAATGGTTGATGTTTTAATCAAGCAATTTCGAATTTTTCGAGAGTCGTGGGAGTCCTTAGGAGCCTAATTTTAAAAAGTCCTTTCTTAGTGCACACCTCATCTAACACACGATTCAGACCCAATTTTTTCCAGAATTTTAGGTCTTATAGTTTGTGCTGGGGAAACATGACGCAAACCGACATCTACTCTTTTGTAGTAATACTCGATATTATTGATCAGCATCACTAGACGAGTCGATCTAGCCATTTCCGTCTGTTCGTAAGTTTTTACGCATGTTCCGGCACGCGCTTTTACCCCGATCAAGGTATGCATAAAATAATACGCTTTAGAATAATTCGTGTCAATAGCTCTTACACTACGCGGAATATCTTCCATTTTTGAAAGTTATAACCGAATGTTTCTATGGGAGCTATAGGATATAGACGTCCGATCGGGGCGATTTTCAAACTTGATTTGCGTGCACATGTTGTACACTTGTCAGAAAAAGTATGCGTACAAATATTTTCCGCAACTTTAGAGCTTAAAAAAACCTCTTAAAAAAATTTGTAATAATGTCATTTTAATTTTAACATTCAGTACACTTATTAAGCTTTAATTTGACGTAACTTATTAAATTCTAGCACCTTTACTTTTCCTAATATAAACAAAAATGTAAAAATTGGCCGGATTTCGCATCAGAAAAAGTATGCGTACAAATGCTTATAGTATTAGAAAAAGCCATATTTTGGGCAAAGTACGTCGAGTTTAGTACGGAGTTTGATACCCTTTATGTTTTATAACTTCAGTCTACATATTCGGCATCGATTGGACCAATGTCCTTGCATCCTTCGCTGTTATTTACTTCCATTCATCGACATTGAGTTTTTTCAGGATATCCTTGGATGCAAGGGTGTGAAGGCGAGTCCTGCCCTCCAGGACATCACAAAAATGCTTTACGGGATTGAGATATACTAATTTGATGGCGAATGTAGCTGTTTTACACATAAAAGCTTTGTTTTGTGGGCGAAATGTTTAGGTTCGTTGTCCTCTTGGTACCAAAAGTCCTTTTCGAGTCCCACTTTCAGGGCGCTTTAATTTGTTGTCTTAAAGTGCATAAAACAACCAACAAAATGAGGTATCGTTTATTAAAATCGGTCAACAACTTAACGAGAAATGGCTAGCCATATAACCAAACAAACAACTGCTTTGGCGTAATGCACGAATTTCATACGAATTTCAAAAAAAACTAACCTTCTATCTAAATAAGAAAGTTTTTATACCCATTTCTCGTTAAGTTGTTGACCGATTTTTATAAACGATACTTCATTTTGTTGGTTGTTTTATGCACTTTAAGACAACAAATTAAAGCGCCCTGAAAGTGGGACTCGAAAAGGACTTTTGGTACCAAGAGGACAACGAACCTAAACATTTCGCCCACAAAACAAAGCTTTTATGTGTAAAACAGCTACATTCGCCATCAAAATAGTATATCTCAATCCCGTAAAGCATTTTTGTGATGTCCTGGAGGGCAGGACTCGCCTTCACACCCTTGCATCCAAGGATATCCTGAAAAAACTCAATGTCGATGAATGGAAGTAAATAACAGCGAAGGATGCAAGGAAATTGGTCCAATCGATGCCGAATATGTAGACTGAAGTTATAAAACATAAAGGGTATCAAACTCCGTACTAAACTCGACGTACTTTGCCCAAAATATGGCTTTTTCTAATACTATATGCATTTGTACGCATACTTTTTCTGATGCGAAGTCCGGCCAATTTGTACATTTTTGTTTATATTAGGAAAAGTAAAGGTGCTAGAAATTAATGAGTTCGTCAAATTAAAGCCTAATATGTGTACTAAATGTTAAAAATAAAATGACATTATTACGAATTTTTTTAAGACGTTTTTTTAAGCTCTATAGTTGCGGAAAATATTTGTACGCATACTTTTTCTGGCAAGTGTATATTGTAATGTAAATCTCTTTTACACTCATTCAGCTGAGTAACTCGTATTTGATGGTCGAGTTATTTGAATATAGCGTTCTCTCTCCTGTTTTATCCTAAATGTCCCCGTTTTCTTCATTTCGGATGGAGCTTATTGTTTAGTTTCTTTTAAACTGTTACTATCTACATATGAAGAACCGTAGTTAAAAACACATTTTGAAGAATCGCAAGGGGTAGGTCAGTGTTAATGCATTTGTAAGGCTTCAAAATAGATTTTCCCATTAATGGTGTGTTTCTTTGTTCCTTTATGTTAAATATGTTCTAAAACACCCAATCAACACTTTTACTTACGACTTTAACGGAAATACGCAATCATTTTTGCGTAATTGTCGGACGATTATATTATTTTTTCTACTAGTTTATACATATGAATGAACATACATACATATGTATTTAAATTGATCATTTCTATAAAAACAATTGCATATACATACATAGGAGGGAGAATAAAAATGAGCCTCAAATACATACATATTTGTCCAGCTATAAGCTCACGTGCACAGTGCACATCCATACATACATATGTTTGTATGCATTGGTGTGCATTGACTTACCGCTGGCCAATGCAGCTTTGATTTGCTGTCCAACGATCAATAAACACATAAATACACACAATTTATAAAACATAGCGGGTCCAACAGAAAAACTTGCCGGTGGACAAAATTAAAATTGATAAAGAAGAGGGAGCTATAAGTGAGCAAGTCCGGCAATGAGTGAAAAAATAACGAATGTTCGTGTGCATACGCTATCTGGAATTATCTCAGTCACTTCTAGGCCCATTAATACATATATACATACATATGTATATGGGAAGGCATGTGCATATGTACATACACATAAAAGCAAATATACAATTTTAGAACAAAGAGTATTTCGGTCTGAAACGCTGTGTGGGCCCCTAGCCAAGTTGCACATAAGTATGTGCATGTACACATGTATTTGTGTGCTTAAACACAGACTTCTTCTTATAATGTTATTTACTTAAATATCAAACACTTCTCGTCTTGGGTTTGGGGAAGACCTGGAGCATAAAAAGAACTACCACTATCAATGTAAACAGTGTAAAGCGTATCCCTATGGGGTGTGTCAGAAAATCGCGTCGGAAAATGTTATTAGGCGGCGGCATAGGGCTGTCATTATTGGGGTATTCCTTAAAAAAAAGATATGGGCAATTCTCTGAGGATGTCAACCAAGCCAAAAAACTTAAAACTTGATAACATAATATTTCTATATGATTTTGCACTGATATTTGATTCTAGTTAGTTGGATTCTCAACTAAGCTAAGTAATTTGAGTATCCTTGGATAATTTTTCAGGACAATACCAATAATATGAACGAGAAAATTATTTTTTTGCGGTATTTTTAAAGTTGCCCTTTAACGGTTTTTTTGACCTAAGACTTTGACACCTAAGAAAACGACGGAAAAAACTGTCGCGTGTGACAGTCACTTCAATGCAGATCAAAAAATAACTGCTACAAATTTTTCAACCAAACCAAATAAGCTTGTAAGAAGAAAGAACACTATAAAATTAACTGCATTAAAATGTTTCTTCACGTTTCGGTACAATCGAAAGATAAGCGGGTAGTCAAAAAAGTCACTTCTATTGGTGTCTCGTGGGAAAGTCTTGGTTCTTTTATTTGTCTTCAAAACGAAGAGTGGTTCACCCCTAGCACGTACTTAGTGCTAATCAAAACCTTTAATTTGAGCCTAGTGTTGAAAGAAAAGAAGTCCTGGAAGATGGTTCTTACCTGCAAAGCGTACGAACGTCGCGTGCGACAGCAGAGAATTGCCCATATACGATATACATATGGGCGGTTCTTTTACAAACCGAACGGATTTGGCCAAAAATATTGAAGTGAAACTTCTTAAGGCGCGTTAAGGATTTTCGAGGGACGGAGTAAAACCGATTCATGACCGTGACGAAAATCGTACATATCCCTGTCTCTCTTCACTGCTGACGAACGTTCTCTCTGTCTTCTTTCCTCTCTTCGCTCTGAGCGCACTCGCACATGGTGCAAATACATATATAAGGTGGTCTTGTCAGCTCTGCTGAGGACGTTAAATAATGTTTACCTCTCTGTCTCTCTTAGGCGATAAAATGAGATAGCTAGATGGACCCTGGCACAAATGACGTCCTCAAACGAGAGCAGCTCTTGCGTTGAGACCACCTTACACATATAATTGCACCATGCCCTCGCACAAAGTTGAGATCTTTTGTGAGAATACGATTTTTAAGCCGAAATTAATTCTGTGACATCAATTAGACTGCCTCTCACCCTTTAGACTGCGAATCCGCTGCAGCGCACAGCTGTCGACTTTCAAAGGTAAACAAACCGATCGAGAAGAAGTAGAAGACAAATTACATGTTCATATTTCCAAGTCGGTCCATGAAATGATAAACGAGAAGTTTCACACACCCCTTTTTTCACATTTTTCGATTTGCCTGAAACTATTTTACTTGTACTATTCGGAAATTAAGTAAACAAGTGCCCCAGGATTTGGTCGAATAAAATTTTTTTTAATTCGATTTTTTTTTTTACCAAAAAAAAAAAAAAAAAAAAAAAAAAAATTTTCCCCCGCTAAAAAAAAAAAAAAAAAATTCAGAATTTTGAATTAACCTAAAAATTTTTAATTTAAAAAAAATTAAAAAAAAATGAATTTCAAAGTAAGTAGTACGTAATTTTTTAATCTATAAAAAAATTACATTTATATTAGATAACCTTCCATTTAATAAACAAAAATATTAACATTTTTTTATTTATTATTTTTATACCCGTTACTCGTAGAGTAAAAGGGTATATTAGATTCGTGCAAAAGTATGTAACAGCTTGTAGCATATCACGAATGATTCTAACAGCAACGAAAGATGGTGGGTGTAGCTTCAAGTGGGGCACGCGCTGGTTCCGGCTCTTGTTTCGTCGGTAAAGGGAGTGAGTTTCCAATTTGATCCACAGTGCTACTTGCTCGCATATGTACATAAAACATCCTATTTAAATTCGCGTGCGAACTGACTTTGAGGTTAATTGTAGGGGGACAGAACTAAGATTGGGGTAAAGAGGAAGGGAATACCTGAAAAGAAGGGTGCTGCCTAGATGGAATGGCAGCAGCTGATGTGAGTGTGTCGGTGCCAGCAGCGAAGATGTTGTTTGCCGCTGACATTGCCCACCCTACCATGATCACCACAGCCGCATAACCTGACACAGGTTGGTGATCCCTTCGACACACGCCTAACTCCTAATCATTATCATCGCTGCAAGCTTCCATTAGAAAATAATTTAGCAATTCATGTTTATAATAGGTTTAATACAAGAAAAGTAATACTAACAAAGGTGATCATTAAAGTTACAAAGTTGGGGTTCATATAAAGTTTATGCTAAGCTCATATTAAATGAGTATATTTAAACCAAAGCAAGAAAATTTAATTTGAATTAAAAATTGATTTCAAAAATATTAAATGTAATTGAATTCACTGAGCAAGTATTTTAGTCATGGGGGAATTTGTTTTATAATAACAAAATCATTGAAATATTATATTAGACAGTCAATCAAAATGTGTAGCATTACGACCGGAGCCGATCACTTACCCAAAATATCCAACGTTGAAAGCGCTTTCAATATGTTGCATTATTGGCTGTAATTTTGTTTATAAATTTGAAAACTGCATTTCAATTGACTGAATGTAAAGATAAATTAGGGAACAACACTTCCAGGGGCTTAAACACTTGCTCTCATGACGAGATTTGCTTACTGCATATCGAATTATTTGATTACACTAAGATTTAAGGTAATTTACGTTAACTGCTTATTTGATATTTATGTTTTAATTAATTTAGCGATAAAGAAATGTAATTTAAATTATGAATAGGAATTTAGTTGATAAGAATTTAACTGATTTAAATTTAAATTGTGTTGGTAAAACTAGACTGGATCACAAAATGGGTGTTGCAGGCTTGGGCCTGCCCACTTGCGCACTTTCAGTAGAGGGCTGCACTATGTAGGTATGTGAGACACAGGGTGCACTATGTTGTTGGCACTGACGTGCATGAATTTGTACGGAATTGTTTGGACCAGTATTCACAAGAATTTTCAGCGTGGACGCTAGGTGGCAACACTGGTTGAAATTTTCACAGTTTTCTTGATTGGATTTGTTCGCTTTCTTTTATTTTTTTGATGCTCTATGATGAATGTGGAGAGCTGATGAAAATCTTGACAATCCTGTGGCGTTGGTGGTAGAAGGAGTAAACTCGACTTCAATTTTCCTCGATGCAGATGAAAATCTGGGAGGAAAATTTTCCTGGGCCGTAAGCCACGTGAAGGAGTAAACTCGACTTCAGTATTCCAAGATGCAGATGAAAATCTGGGAGTAAAATTTTCCTGGGCCGTAAGCCACGTGAAGGAGTAAACTCGACTTCAATTTTCCAAGATGCAGATGAAAATCTGGGAGGAAAATTTCCCCGGGCCGTCAGCCACGTGAAGGAGTAAACTCGACTTCCAAGAATTTTCCTATAAAACGCATTACTTTATAAGTGGGGTTTTTCCACGAAATAATAGTAAAACTTACTTCCTTTAATCAACAGGAACCCACTGGTAAAAGAAAACCTTATAAAAGGCTGAGGATGTCTGATATTTTCCACGATTTGGTTTGGGTAGATCTCTGGGTTTAAATAAAATACGCTCAGGAGAGAACGATCTTCACACGGCCAAGGTTCAAAACGGAAAGACCGAATAATCGAAATGCATCAGGCAGCCAGGCCTGTTTATCGAAAAAGTGTGGGACCAGAGTTGCTCAAAAAGTCTTTATCGAACACGTCTTTTCAGTGTTGTAAAAACCGAAATTATTTGAATTTAGCTCTGCCATTTTAATTCCTGGCGGCAACTTCAAAAACTGGCGGGAATTTTAAATTGAAGTGGGAAATTTAAAAATTGAAAATATTAACGACAAGCGCCCTACAAATACCCCCCACCAAAATCACACTTTGGGGATGAAATCAACAAAGGGTGATCAGCGCTTGGAGAAGATAAATGTAGCGAAAATTTAATGTTTCGACGATTTTGGGAAGAAAATGGTGTCAGAGGTATCATAGTGGTTATTAAAAGGTACATCCGGTATGTTAGTCAAGTCTGGTTTACGAATGATTGGGCAATCAGGAGTGGATCCTAATTGGAGATGTCTCTCTGACCTACAAAATTATTGTCAGGTGGTAACCCTGAATTATCAAAATTATTCTGATACAGTAGAGAATGTTGTGGACTGTTCGAGTAGATGGTAAGTCCTGTTGTGATAGCTTGTGTTAGCTTATCAGTTTGATCTTTCATAGACCTAGCTAAAATGACTATTTGCTCTGATATAGCTGCAGCCATCGCTTCCACTATAGCCTTCTTAATGGAGTCAGCCATGCTTAGCTGCTCTGCCTGTTGCAAAGGAGCAGTGTTATCTCCAGGATTTGCCATGTTCAGACTTGTATCCTTGAGGCACTCAGTTGGTGATCGTGTCAAACCCGATATAGGGAGAATGGAAGTTTTCACTACTTCTTTTGAAGTAGATGCAACAGAACTATCGGATGGGATAGTGAAGTTAGTCAATGACTCTTTGCACAAGGTCCTTCCTGGTCTGTCTAGACACTTTTGATACAAAATATGTCCACAATTGGTTATATAAAGTTTCGACTGAATAATATTAGAGAGCACCGAAATACTAAATGTAATTACAGACAAATGATTTAAACCTAATAAAAAAAAAATTA